TTGGGGAAGGGGCGGGGAATGGGCAGAGTTGGGGCGGGGAAGGGGCGGAGTTGGGCCGGGGGTGGGAAAGGGGCGGGGCCAGGGCCCGTGGAGTGTCCTCTTTTTTTATTTTTTAAATATGGTAACCCTACGTCTCTTCATCTAGAATCCCCAGTGCTGGTTTCAGGTGGGTTTGACTCCAGGCAGTTACAAACAGACAAACCCCAATACCAGCGAGTCATTCAGCTTCCCACAACTCCAGTCGACACAGAGCAAATCGGTCTGAGACAGCTCCACAGAATGGGGGTGTACAATGAACGTGCTAAGGTGGGCCAATCAGATTTTCCTGTAAGGCCTTTTATAGACAAAGCCGCATTGCTATGGGGTAGGGACAGCCAGCAAAGTAACATGCTGAGAGAGACTCCTGAAGGATCTGACATAGCATGGAAAGGAGACAAATCCAGACAGTAAGTGGCACACACATGGTGTTTATTGGGCTCGTAAGGAAAGGCTGAGGCCCTGAAGTTTAATGCTAATCACCTGCCATGCTTTATTGCTCAGGCAGAAGGCGGAAATGTGCAACAATTACTCCTGGTGAAATTCTGCGCCACTGCACATGCACAGAATTTATGTCCCCCACAGATTTCTTCGCTTTCCCACAGAAAACTGACTTTCTCACAGGGAAGCAAAGGGAAGCCACAAGAGCAGTCATGTGACCCTCCCCAGCAGTATGTTTCTGGTACCCAGGGCAGCCAGCAGAGAGGTAAATCAATGTGAGGCAGGGGTGGGACTGGGGAAGACATGGCTGGTGGCTCCTACCCTGCGCCAGGCTCAGCTGCTAGTCCTGGCTGGGCTGGAGAGGATGGGGCTTCCTCTTCCCTTACACAGCATCTGGGGCCGGGTCAGACCCACCCCCAGATTTTCCCCCCAGCTGTAGGAAGCTCTGCAAACTCCTCCCCTGCCCCGCTTCCTACACCCATCGTTCCTCAGCTTCAGGGGGAGGGATCCTTCTACAGGGAGCTGCTCCCCCATCCATCCAACCCCCATACATCCAGGCCCCTTCATACCTGACCCTCCTGCCAAGCCTCACCCCCCACATTCAGAACCCCCTGATGAGCCCCGCTCCCCCTGCACCTGGACCACCCCAACGAGCCACCCGCACCCGGATCCCCACCCCACTGAGCCCCACTCCCCCAGCATCTGGATCCCCCACTGCACTCCCCACACCCAGACCCCCCTGTCGAGCTCTATCCCCCCGCCCCATGCCCAGACACACACCCCCGCTGAGCCCTAACCACCTTCACCTGGACCCCCTGCAGAGTCCCATTACCATTGAACCTAGAACCCCCCAACAAGCTCCTGTGCATCCAGATCCGCCCCCCGCACCTGGATCCCCCACTGAGCTGCCCACACCCAGATTGCCCCACACAGAACCCTCTCAACCCACATCTGGATCCCCCCATAAGAAGCCTTCCACACTTGGATTCTGCCTTGCTGAGCCTGCCTGCCCACACCTGGTGCACCTGGCATGGAGGGGAAGGGCTTTGGGGTGTCTCTAGGGCAGGCCCGGTCCTTGCGCTGTATCAGGGTTGGGTGCAGCCTCACTGCTGAGTCTGTATTCCAGGGTGCAGCTGCACAGTGATCTCCCACCTCTGTGCAGCCAGTGGCCTGTGCTCCCCAATGCCAGGCTGGAGCCTCCACATTGATTTGACAAATAAAATTTGCAGAATTTTAAAATATTGTGCTCAGAATTTTTATTTTTTTGGTGCAGAATGCCCTCAGGAGTAAATAATCAGGATTCCAGGTAGTGCTAAGAAGTACTATAGTTAGAACTAACCCTAGGGGGCACTCAAAGCACCCAATGCCCACCCAGTGAAGGACAGCCCAATTTCAATCCTAGTTGTAAAATCATCGCCTTAGGCCACGTCAGGTTCCCCTTCTCAGGAGCAGTGACAGGCACAGACAGAGCAAGGGGTGCTTGGTACCAGTGGCAGCACTGCCAGGCTCTCACTCTGCACCTCACTTGTCTGTTTAATAAGGAGGCTGCGTGAATGCAGAGCCCTCAACTAGAAAGGCTGAAGACAGCTTTAAATTGTTACCCCTCTGTGCAATGCTGTACTGGGCCCATCTGCAGGTAAGGAGCACTGCAGGCTCTGTGGACAGGCAGTCCCCAGCACTTTCCTATGGGAGACAAGAGGAGCTTTTCCATAGGCTCTAATGGGAGCTAGATAAAGCCCCAAATCATCATCTGCTGAAAGTGAAAAAGGGTGTGCTTATGTGTGCAGCACACTTGTGCGAGCGTGTCCCGGGCATCTGTGGAAATCAGCTTTACTACATCTAGATCCACTGGGTGTGTCCTGGCCACCAGGATTTCTAGGTGCCAAACATAAGAATTTAGGTCCCCACATCTGAGCCATAGTGCAGCATGTGAGGCAAAGCCACAGTGGGACATTTTGGGCAAGGGGCATTTTATATGCATGCAACTTCTCAGCCCTCTGGCACTATGCCCTGACCAAAAGCAGCACCAGTCAGTCCCCTGCTGTCTGGCAATGACATGCTGCTCTATGCTGCACACGAGCCGTGGTGTGAGACGCTGGGCTCACAGAATGGGGAGAGTGAGTCAGGAGGGGCCGTGAACATTTGATTACTCACCTCTCGAAGATCTCCTGCTCCGCGTGCTGGGGACAAGGAGAGAGACAATCATAAAAGCTGAAATTCTCATAAGAACATCCAGACTGGGTCAGACCAATGGTCCATCTAGTCCAGTGTCCTGTCTTCTGACAGTGGCCAGTGCTAGGTGCTTCAGAGGGAATGAACAAAACAGGCAGTCGCTGAGTGACCCAGCCCCTGTTGTCCAGTCCCAGCTTCTGGCAGTCAAAGGCTATGGATATCCAGAGCATAGGGTTGCATCCCTGACTATCTTTGTTAATAGCCGTTGATGGACCTATTCTCCAAGAACTTACTTAATTCTTTTTTTAACCCAGTTATAGTTTTGGCCTTCACAACATCCTCTGGCAATGAGTGCCACAGGTTGACTGTGCCTTGTGTGAAGAAATGTTTCCTTATGTTTGTTTTAAACCTGCTGCTGTTAATTTCACTGGGTGACCCCTGGTTCTTGTGTCATGTGAAGAGTAAATAACACTTCCCTATTCACTTTCTCCACACCAGTCATGATTAGGCTCTATCAGATCCCTCCTTAGTCATCTCTTATCTAAGCTGAACAGCCCCAGTCTTTTTTTTTTTTCTCATATTTTCTTGAGGTCATGGAATCATTTCTGTTTCAGCCTCACCAACCGCAAACACTCAGAAATCATGAGTTCAGCCTCCAAATCAGGAGATTAGCTTAGAAGTCACATGATTCCAAAAAATAATCAAAAGTGTGATCATTTTATTGCCTTCTGGTTTCTGAGCTTTTAAGGAACATTCTGGTCCCATTTAAAAGCTTCCCTCTGCAACCATTAAAGCTAGAAAATAATGTATTTTTTAATGAAACCTGAGATTGTGGCAATCAATAGTCTCAGAAGTCTCCTTTTCATTTTTGCTGCCCTTCTCTGTACCTTTTCCAATTCTAATCTATCTTTTTTGAGATGGGGCAACCGGAACTGCATGCAACATTGAAGGTTTCTGTGTACCATGGATTTATATAGAGGCATTATTATATTTTCTGTCTTATTATCTATCCCTTTCCTAATGGTTCCTAATATTGTTAGCTTTTTTGACTGCCACTGCACATTGAGCAGATGTTTTCAAAGGACTTTCCACGATGACTCCAAGATCTTTCTTGAGTGGTCATCGCTAATTTAGACCCCATCATTTTGTATGTATAGTTGGGATTATGTTTTCCAATGTGCATTAATTTACATTTATCAATGTTTTCTTGCCCAATCATCCCGTTTTATGAGATCCCCGTGTAACTCTTCGCAATCAGCTTTGGACTGAACTATCTTGAATAATTTTGTATCATTTGCAAACTTTGCCGCCTCACCATTCCCTTTTTCCAGATCATTTAAGAATATATTCAACAGCACTGGTGCCAGTACAGATCCCGGGAGGACACCATTATTTACCACTTTCCATTGTGAAAACTGACCATTTATTCCTACCCTTTGTTCCCTATCTTTCAATCAATTAATGCTCCATCAGAGAACCTTCCCTCTTATCCCATGACTGGTTACTTTGCTTTAGAGTCTTTGGTGATGGACCTCGTCAAAGACTTTCTGAAAGTCCAAGAACACCATGTCCACTGGATCACCCGTATCCACATGCTTGTTGACAACCTCAGAGAATTCTAATAGATTAGTGAGGCATGATTTCCCTTTACAAAAGCTGTGTTGACTCTTTCTTAACATGTCATGTTCATCGATATGTCAGAGAATTCTGTTTTCTATTAGTTTCAACCAATTTGCCTAGTACTGAAGCTAGACTTACAGGGTCTCTTCTGGAGCCTTTTTTTTTTTTTTTTTTTAAATTGGCATTACATTACCTATCCTCCATTTGGCATGGAGGCTGGTTTCAGCAGTAGGTCACGTACCACAAGTAGTAGTTCTGTAATTTCATATTTGAGTTCTCGCAGAACTCTTGGGTGAATACCATCAGGTCCTGATGCCTTATTACTGTTTAATTTATCAATCTGTTCCAAAACTTCCTCTATTGACACCTGAATCTGGGACAGTTCCTCAGATTTGTCACCTAAAAAGAATGGCTCAGGTGTGGGAATCTCCCTCACATCCTCTGCAATGAAGACCAATGAAAATAATTTATTTAGCTTCTCCACAATGGCCTTGTCTTCCTTGAGTGCTCCTTTAGCACCTCGATCGTTCAAAGGCCTCACTGACTATTTGGGTTTGTCTACACTGGCACTTCGTCAGCAAAACTTTTGTCGTTCAGGCATGTTAAAAAAACACCCCCCCCCACCCCCAAACAAAAGTTTTACTGACGAAAAGCACCAGTGTGAACAGCGCTCTCCTGCCGACGAAGCCGCTGCCGCTCATGGGAGGTGGAAGTTTTTTGTCAGTAGGAGAGCTCTCTCCTGCCGACAAACAGCAGCTACACTGCGCGGCTTTTAGCAGAACAGCTGTGTCACTAAAAACTGCCTAGTGTAGCCACAGCCTTTGACAGGCTGTTAGTTTTTGTGTCTTTTGCTAGTTGCTCTTCAAATTCTTTTTTGGCCTGCACTCGACTTGCCAGAGTTCGTGCTTCTTTCTAGTTTCCTCCCTAGGATTTGACTTCCAATTTTTAAATGTTGCCTTTTTGCCTCGAACCCCCTTTGACGCTGCTGTTTAACCATGATAGCATTTGTTTGGTCTTATTGTTTTGTTTTGATTTGGGGTACATATTTAGTTTGAGCCTCTATTACGGTATTTTTAAATAGTTTCTGTGCAGTTTACTAGGCATTTCACTCGTGTGACTGTTCCTTTTAATTTCCATTTGACTAGCCTCATTTTTGTGTAGTTCCCCTTCTTTAAAGTTAAATGCTACTGTGTTGGGTTTCTTTGGTACTTTCCCCCTGCATGGATGTTAAATGGAATTACATTATGGTTGTTATTACTGAACGGGTCAGCACTATTCACCTCTGGGACCAGATCCTGTGCCCCACTCAGGACTAAATTGAGAATTGCCTCTTCCCTTGTGGGTTCCAGGACTAGCTGCTCCAAGAAGCAGTCATTAATGGTGTCTGGAAACTTCATCTCTGCATCCTGTCCTGAGGTGACACGTCCCCAGTCAATATGGAGATAGTTGAAATCTCCCATATTATTATGTTTTCTATTTTTGTAGCCTCTCTAATCTCGTGGAGCATTTCACAGTCACCATCACCATCCTGGTCAGGTGGTCGGTACTATATTCCTGCAGCTATATACTCTTATTATTCAAGCATGGAATTTGTATGCATAGTGATTCTATGGCACAGTTTGATTAATTTAGAGTTGTACTATATTTGGCCCTATGCTTTCCCACAGAGTGTCAACCCCCGACCAGTGTGACTTACCCTGTCATTCTATATTTTATATTTTGTACCCTGGTATTACCGGGTGCCGTTGATTGTCATTGTTCTCACACAATAAAATCTCTCCCTGGGCACTTATGCAAAGGTCTCAGTGGGTTTGGATGTCTTCCCAAGTCCTCCATCCCCCTCGCCGAGCCCGCCCCGGCATAGACAGTGTCACAGCGAACCCCTCACCCTCCCTGAAAATGGCTAAAGCTGCCTCCTGGGGATTGAGCTTGTGCCGCCGGCGATGCCCGAAGCAGGTGAATTGAATAAGTTCATGCAGCAGGAAAATCCGCCTGCCACAGGTAGCCAAGGATCCTCTCGCCCCCGTCCCTGATGGCTCCGTCTCCTGAGACCCGCCCTGGTGCTTGTTCTACCAGCTGCTCTGTGGCCTGTTATCTAACGTGCCTCCCACAATGGCGTCCGAGACCCCTCAGTGCAGGTGCCTTGCAGTCAGGCCATCTGCAGCAGGAGTCCTCCAGCTCCCCAGCCCCACATCCATCCCAGAAGGCTTTGTTGCAGCACTTCAGAGGTTTCCCCTCTCTCCTGCTGGCCTGGGTTGTGAGAAGCACAACTGCCCTTCCTGGGCCCTGTGGGAGAGCAGCCCCATCTCCCTCTTCCTGGCTCAGGCTGGGGTGGGGCACATCCTCCAGTGCCTCTTGGGCTCCATTTCCCACAGTGCCATCAGGGCTCTGCGCGCTCAGACCCAGCACAGTGTGGGCAGGGCATAGGGAGCTGCTGGTGGCTGGACACTGCGGTGCTGTGTGCATGAGCCACGGGCTGGCACCCGCTGCACCCAGGAGCCTATTCCTGCTGCATCGTTCCCTCGGCACCTCGGTGTGGGACCCCGCCACTTGCACTTGTCAGTGGTGTCCCTCCCCCGCTTCCACACGAAAAGGACATCCTGGGCTCGCTCAAAGGCAGCCCAACCAGTAGTGATAAGACACCATTAACAGAAATCTATTTCTGTGGGGCAGATGGACCAGCCCAGCCATTTCCACAGGCAGGGAGCTCCAGAACACGCAGTGCCTTCTGCACAACCACAATCTATCGATTGAGAACTACTGTTTAACATATTGGCAACTACACAGCAGTGACGCCTCAGTGCATTTAACCCACAGGAAGCGCAGCTCTTTAGCACAGTCATTACAGCCCCCCCATCAGTTGTCTGACTCATGGCATCTCAGCTGCTTACTGCAATTGTACTTTGCCCCCACAGTCTGTCCCAGGTCCCCATCTCCTCAGGGAAAGGCCTAAGACCTGGGGGTGATGACAGCTCCAAACCAGACATCATTCTGTTATCAGCCAAACCTCACATTTATATCAGCTTTCTCATTATGGAGCCTGCATTAATTAGCCAAAGTAAATTCAGGAAGATTTCTTTGCACGGTGTGTGGTCAGTTGGTGGCACTTTCCATTGCGGGGGTTAGAGAATCCTATTCCAGGGCTGGACAATTCTAGGATCAATCATATTTGTAGCTATACGTGCGGTCAGTGTGTTCATCTCTCCTGCTTCGGGCCATAGTCTGAGCCCCACAGAGCCAGGAAGGAAAAGACAAACACGCAGCACTCCTGAGTAGAGCATTGCAAGACCCTTCCTCTGACACATCAAGTAGGGTGACCAGACAGCAAGTGTGAAAAATCGGGACAGGGGTTGGGAGGACTGTCCCTATAAAATCGGGACATCTGGTCACACTAACATCAAGTGTCAGCTCCCGCCAGAGACCAACCTCTGACCCAGTGTGGAAACATTTACAAGCCTCACACCGCCCCCACCCACCACCACTGCTACGCAGCAAAGAGCCAGACAGACCTTTTCACCCATTACTCTCTTGCTGGCTGGTATTTAACAGATCTCGTGCTCCAGCCTCCCGTCTCTCTGGTGGGACAAGTCTGACTGGCCAATACCAGAAGGCGGAATAAAAGATTCACTGTTATTCGTATCACCACTGGTTCACTCCACTGACCAGCCAGAGAGCAAAGCTTCTGCCACTCACTTAAAGTTAAATGAAGCTAAGCAATGGCTTAAGGTCGGGGAAACAGGATAACTGCCTGCTAACATCTGACTGGAGAGGAATTGTTAAGGTGATCCAAGGTGATTTAATAACTAATGGGAAGGAACCAGCCAAAGGAACGTGCAGACTGAGTAGGAGAAGTACCCTCACACCAAGGTTTGTTAGATTGCAGGAGATCTCTCCAGGGAAAGGCAGGGTCCCAAAGATCGAGCCCTGCTCTGCACGACAAAGTCACTTCAGTATAACCACGTCGCTTGGGGGTGGGGTGGGGGTGAATGATCCACGCTCCTGAGCGACCCAGTTATACCAACTTAAGCGCCGGTGTAGACGGCACTATGTCAGCGGGAGAGCTTCTCCCACCGACACAGCTACTGCCTCTCATAGAGTCTATTAACTATTTAGTCGACGGGAGAAGCTCTCTCCCATCGGTTTAGAGTGTCTTCATTAAAGCGCTACAGTGTGCAGTTGCACCGGCGCAGCGTTTTAAGTGTAGACCTGCCCGGAGCTGTTTAAAATCAACAAAGAACTAGAAAAACCCATGAAAAATCATGTACCGGCCTTCTCCCTCTCTGACTCCCGAGTCCAGTCCTCAGATGCTGAGGCACTGCTTGGGCCCTTGGGGTCCCATCTGCTTGCAAGGGAGAACAGGCAAGGAGGAAGCAATGCAGCAGTTAGTGCTGCTCTAGCCCAGCATCCAAAGGATGGTGCATCCCGAGCTTGGAAGAGAATTCTGATATTCTCCCATCACCCGCAGTAAGGGGAAGACCAGCGGGAACATTTCAGAAGCTCCCTCACCTGTTCCTAGCTCTTACGGGGCAGCCACATTTCTCTGGTGATTCCAGCCAGGTGACTCCCTGGGTAGCCACAGCTGCTTCCCAGGAATGCAAACCCGAGTCTCTCTTGAACTCTGGCCTCCTTGTTGTCAGTGCAACAAGCTGCCGAACTGCTGCACTCAAGAGTCATCAGCTGCAGCGAGAGAAGCCTGGCTGCAGGCTAGACCGGTTCCTCAGTACAAGACTGTGGTACTTACCACCAGGCCGTGGTCATCCAGGTTGGTGATCATGTCCACTAGGTAGGTGCGGAGGGCAGCCAGTTTCTGCAGGGACTCGGTCCAGTGAGCTCGCTGGGTCAGGATGCTCTGGTGAGTCCTCTCCTCCTCCGCGTGCACCTTCTCCAGCAGTCGCTGCTCTTCGTTCTCACACACATTTCTCACAAAGATCAGTCTCTGGATCACCACTTCCCGGGCCCAGCTGGCCGCGCTCTGCCACAGCAAGGACAGGGGAGGGAGAGGTGTCAGGCGCCCCTGCCTCAGCTCAGCAAGCACTACATGCAGTACCACCGGCATGCTGGAAAGCTACCACCGGAGCTGGCTTTCAGTGCACTCTAACGCTGAGTCAATCCACCTGAAATCACCGGGATTAAAGTGGTGTAAACCAATGTGAGATCGGAACCAGGCCGCTCTACCTACCAGCTATGGTGTTTCTAAGGCACTAGCTGGTATCGCCAGGGCTACTAAGTGCCAACTTGACACCCAGCAAGGCCCACATTTCAGCTTCGTACAAAAAAGTTTTACACCATGTAATATTAGGGAAACGATCTCATGCTGACGAGCCAAAGGCCCAGCCTGCAATCCCTGGTGCAGGACAGCAGCTCTGGCTCCCTGCAGCAGTCCCAGTGGACTCAACTCACATTAGGGAGGGCTTGCAGGATTAGGCCTGACAGCTGCCGTTCCCCCCTCCCCGCCCACCATTCACTCAGCAGCGGGTCTGCTCCAACTGAAGCATGTCTGTGCAGTCTTTGCAGCCCAGCCATTGCAGGAGGGCAGGAGAGGCTGGAAGTGAACTGACTGAAACAAAACTGAAACTGACTAGCCTTTTATTGAAGCACAGGCACCAGCAGGGAACCAGGAGAAGTTAGGGTCATTGAAGTGTTCAAAGCCATTATTGCTAACACAGGCCTGGTCTACACTAGAAAATTAGGTTGGCATAACTACATCGCTCAGAGATATGGAAAATCCACACCCCAAAGTGGCGTAGTTAAACCGACCTAAGTCCTGTGTAGACAGTGCTAGGTCGACGGAAGAATTCTTGGGGAGGTGGATAAACCAGGCCGATGGGAGAAGCATAGGGAATAACGTCTACACTGTGGCATTACAAGCATAGCCATACCCACAGAGTATTTACACAGAAATAGCTGTCCGGATTCTCAGTTATACTACGGCCACTTTCCCCTGCTCTCGCAGTGTAAATGGGCTTTAAAATCAGTGTAGGATGAAACAGATGCTGCCAGAGAGGTGTAACGTGGCCCCGGCGAAAGGGAGAAATAGACCTAGTATTGTTATCCTGACACGGTCGCTTTAAAGGAAAGCACTGCCCGAGGGAGGCATGGGAAGCAGCACCACCTGAACTGAGAGACGAGCAAATTCAAGAGCAAACTTCAGGGTTCGACTCCCGAGCACATCCCCAGAACCCAGGCCAAGGTCATCTACAAGAGGACGGGGCAGCAGAGAGGGTGTTGGAAGCAGTGCATACACTCAGCTGGCTGCCTCAAGGAGTAGAGTTGGGGTTTACACTGCAGGAAACCAAGCAAAACTGTCTGTTCGTTATGGGGACGGTCAGATAGGGAGAAGGGCCTAAATAAAATCAGTAACCAAAGAGTAAAGCCATCTCAGCAACCCTGGGCAGCCAGCACTAATATTGCTGAGTGGGGGTATGTTCACCTGTGAGATGCAGGCTGCACTAGCAAGCTCAGGTCCACATTACCGTGCCATGGAAAGAAAAGAGAATTACCAGAGCACTTTGGTTCTTCCCTGGCAGCACCTCGGCCATGTATTTGGTGATCGCAGCACTCTGCAGCTGGAGCTTCTCACACTGATCCACAATTTTATTCTGAAATATAGAATCAGAGCTCTGGAGTCACAGCCTCTCTCGGAGCATCCTCTGCCCATCGGGCACCGTGAGCGCTCAGCTTTCAGAAGTGTTGTAGTCATACGGTGTCCCTTCACTAGAGCACAGGCTGCATGAGGTCCCCGGGAGCTTCCGGCTCTCAGCCCCATTGCAGTCAGCTGCAAGCACACCCCAGCTTTACACAAAGAAATAAACCCCAGATTTGTAATAAAACCAGATCCTTGCCTGAAAAAGTCACAAATGGGCTAAAATATCCCTAAAAGTTAGTGGGTTTTAATTGGTAAGATCTGTCCTGGACTCCCGATCGCCAGCGATAGTATCTGTGCGAGAGGAAGAGGTGGAAGGAAGGGAGAAACGGTTACATGCAGCTCACCTAGGCCGGATTCTCTGTCATGTTCTGGTTCCTTTACATCACTCTGGCATTGTGAGGAGACAGAACCTCAGTGGAAATGGCCTCTGGGACTATCCCTGGCATAAGGGCTTTCTCCACACAGCAGAGTTGCCAGAGTGCCTTTAGCCACCTCCCTAGCCACTGGCATAGAGTGTGCACGAGGGGAGGGTGCAAGCATGGCCAGATCAAAATAGCTCCTGCTATTCTCAACTGGGATGACTCTGGAGGGCGGTTGCAGCCAAACATAAATTGGAGCAGTCCTGGGGCTGCTCTAATTTATGCCACGAATGGGCAGCCCAAGCTATGGAGTGTAAAGCAGCCTTTGCCCCCTCCTGCAACAAGCACAGTTTAGCCAGAACAGACTCTGAGCCAGAGTTTTCCCTTTGAAATCTGTCATTTCCCTTGGCAATAGGACAATTCCTATGTGATTGCTGGGAACCAAACCTGTCATTTGGGTTTAAATGTAAAAACCAAGCGACAGGAACAAGGAGGCCTTTACACTTTATTTGTGTTATTTTGATCTAGCCTGAAATTCCCAGGGCACCGCAGAGAGGGCCCAGGCCCAGATCCCTGCGCACCTGCTTGTTCCTCAGAAGTATTCTGCCAATGGGTGATATGAACAGGTCAGCGGGGGGGCCTGACAAGCTGTCTTATTCCCATTACTCACTCCTGTAGATGTGTGATTGGTCACCTAAGTCACACGGTATTGTTTCTGCTCTCGGATTGGACGGCTGAAACTTTTTTAAACCGGAGATTGGGGCGACGGGCACTTTCCAGGATCAGTTTCTAGAGGGAGACTGGCTGGTGCTGGCCGCTGTCAGGCGCCGCGTCACAGTCACACCCGGCACCCACCGAATGAGGTGCCGGTAACCCCCGTGTGTGAGCCGTCAGCCCCGGCCCGTGGGCCCAGCAGCTGCTCAGCAAGTGCGGCCAGGCCACGGGAGGGGCTGGCCAGGCTGGCTCGGCTCAGGCAGCGATCCCTGCGCAGAGCTGTCCCTGCTCCCCGTGCTGATCTCCCTCGGCGGGGCGCTCGCAGTGACCCCCACCCTAGCCCAGCGCCAAAGGGGGACCCGGCCTCCCCGGGGGCCTGTCTCCCAGCACGTGTCTGCGCAGCGCCTGGCACACCCCGGCCCTGCCCTCACCTGGGCTCTCTGCGCTACAGTCACACGCAGCCGGAGCCCCGAGGGACGGCACCCACAGGGCTGGGAAGCGGCCCCACGGCAGCCCCCTGCGCTCACGGGCAGCGCCGGACTCTCCCTATGAACCGTCCGGCCCGAGTTCTTCCCACGTCCAGGGAGCGGCTCCGGCTGCTCCGCACGGCGCCGCGGGCTGCCTGCGCGGGAGCGCCCGGAGGGGATCCAGGCCAGCGGGCGATGCTGGGCGTGGGGCGCCCCCAGGCAGCCGGCGGCCCAGCCCCCCCCCCCTCTTCCCCGGGGGCCAGGGCGAGCAGCCCAGCCTCCGCGCCCGGCGCTTACCCGCAGGTCCGCAGCCTTCTCCTCCAGCGCCGTCACGCGGTGGCCGCGGCAGCCGCCCAGCCTGGCGCACTGGGCGCAGACCAGCCGGCGGTGAGCGGCGCAGAACCAGCCCAGCTCCAGCCCGTGCTCCGGGCAGCTCTCCCCGGCCAGCCCCGCAGCGCGCTCCGGCTCCGCCCGCCCGGCGCTGCCGCCGGCTGCCCCCGCCTGGCTCCGGCTCCCCGGCTCCGCGCCCGCGGGCGGCGGTAGCCCCGTCCCCTCCTGCGCCATGGGCCCGCGCTCGCGGCAGGACGGAGCCGGAGCCGCTCCCGGGCGGCACCTGTCTCAGGTGCGGGGAACTGACCGGCGGGCGGGGCTGCAGGCGGAGGTGACGGCAAAGTTAGAGCGAACCCGCCCTGCGCGCACACCCCGAGTGCTGCACACACAGCCCTGCTCGCGCTCTGTCACATACACACGCACAGCCTTGCTCGCTCTCTGTCACACACAGGCACCGACAGCTTCTCTCTCACTCTCTCACACACACACAGCCCTGCTCTCTCACACACAGAGGCACCGACAGCTTCTCTCTCTCTCACACACACAGCCCTGTTCGTGCTCTCTCTCTCACAGACAGACAGACACACACACACACACAGCCCTGCTCGCTCTGTCTCTCTCTCTCTCTCTCTCTCACACACACACACACACACAGCCCTGCTCGTTCTCTCTCACACACACACAGCCCTGTTCGCTTGTTCGCTCTCTCTCTCTCTCTCTCACACACAGCCCTGCTCACTCGCACTCACTCTCTCTCTCACACATGCACACACACACACACACACACACAGCCCTGCGCTCGCTCTCTCTCTCTCACACACACAGCCCTGCGCTCGCTCTCTCTCTCTCACACACACACCCCTGCTCACGCTCTCTCACACACACACACAGCCCTGCTCGCGCTCACACACAGCCCTGCTCGCTCTCTCATATACACACACAGTCCTGCTCGCTCGCGTGCTCTCGCTCTCTCTCTCACACACACACGCGCACACACACACACACAGCCCTGCTTGCTCTCTCACACATACAGGCACTGACAGCTTCTCTCTCTCTCTCTCACTCACACACACACGCACACACACAGCCCTGCTCGCTCTCTCTCACACACAGCCCTGCTGCACATATAGAGCACTGCACACACATATACATGTACACCAACTACTGCACAAACACACAGCCCTTCACACACACTCCAACTGTTGCACACTCACAGACCTGCACATGCACATGCACACCCTGACTGCTGTAGACACTGACTGCTGCACATACTAAGCCCTGCACACCCTCCCCGAGTGCTGCACATGTGCACACACACTCAGTCTTGCACAGACAAATGCCCTGACTGCTGCACACACAGTGCCCTGCACACATACAGTCCTGCACACATAGACACACACACACAGAGACGCTGACTGTTGCAGGCACACACACTGACCGCTGTACACACACAGCCCTGCACCCAGGCATAGAGACACCGACTGCTGCACACACAGGGAGCCGTACACACACACACAGAGCCATGCACACAGGCACAGAAACACGACTGCTGAGCACACACACAGAGACAGACTGCTGTACATGTGCGTGCACACAGAGACAGAGTGCCCTGTGCATGCATCCCCCGAACTGCTGCACACACAGAGCCCTGCACACACGCACAGACTGCTGCACACATGCAGACACACACACCCTGACTGCTGCACACAGATAGACCTCTACACACACACACACAGCCCTGCATACACACCCTGACTGCTGCGCACACACACACCAGAGCTCTGCACGCAGATGCGCACACACACACCCCAACTGTGGCACACAGAGCCCTGCACATACACAGCCCCTGCGCGTGCACGTGCACAGACACACAACAGAGTGCTCTGCGCACACACACGCACACAGACACTGCTGCACATGTGCACATACACCATCCTGCACATGCAAACACGCACACAGTCCTGTGCACTTTGCGCACACTGACTCCTACACACACCTACACGGTCCTGCACATGCAAACATACACACCGACTGCTGCACACACCCTCACCGCCCTGAACACACACTGCCATGCACATAGCATCGTAGAACTGGAAGGGACCTGGAGAGATCTAGTCCAGTCCCCTGCACTCAAGGCAGGACTAAGTATTATCTAGACCATCCCTGACAGGTGTTTGTCCAACCTGCTCTTAAAAATCCCCAATGATGGAGACCTCCCTAGGCAATTTATTCCAGTGCTTAAACTTCCTAACTGTCAGAGTGGTTTTCCTAATATGTCCAACCTAAACCGCCCTTGCTGCAATTTAAGCCCATTGCTTCTTGTCCTATCAGAGGTTAAGAAGAACAATTTTCTCCCTCCTCCTTGTAACAACCTTTTATGTACTTGAAAACTGTTATGATGTCCCCACTCGGTCTTCTCTTCTCCAGACTAAACAAACCCATTTTTTTCAATCTTCCCTCATAGCTCATGTTTTCTAGACCTTTAATCATTTTTGTTGCTCTTCTCTGGACTTTCTTTAATTTGTCCACATCTTTCCTGAAATGTGGTGCCCAGAACTGGGCACAATACTCCAGTTGAGGCCTAATCAGTGCAGAGTAGAGCGGAAGAATTACTTCTCGTGTCTTGCTTACAACACTCCTGCTAATACATCCCAGAATGATGTTTGCTTTTTTTGCAACAGCGTTACACTGTTGACTCATATTTAGCTTGTGATACACTATGACACCAGATCCCTTTCTGCAGTACTCCTTTTTAGGCAGTCATTTCCCATTTTGTATGTGTGCAACTGATTGTTCCTTCCTAAGTGGAGTACTTTGTATTTGTCCTTATTGAATTTCATACTATTTACTTCAGTCCATTTCTCCAGTTTGTTCAGATCATTTTGAATTTTTATCCTAGCCTCCAAAGTACTTGCAACCCCCTCAGCTTGGTATCATCCGCAAACTTTATAAGTGTACTCTCTATGCCATTATCTAAATCATTGATGAAGTTATTGAACAGAACCGATCCCTGAGGGACCCCACTCATTGTGCCCTTGCAGCATGACTGTGAACCACTGATAACTACTCCCTGGGAACGATTTTCCAACCATTTATGCATCCACCTTATAGTAGCTCCATCTAGGTTGCATTTCCCTAGTTTGTTTATGAGAAGGTCATGCGAGACAGTGTCAAAAGCTTTACTAAAGGCAAGATATACCACATCTACCGCTTCCCCCCATCCACAAGGCTTGTTACCCTGTCAAAGAAAGCTATCAGGTCGGTTTGACATTGTCAGGGTTCCTTCCCCACTCTGAACTCTAGGGTACAGATGTGGGGACCCGCATGAAAGCCCCCTAAGCTTATTTCTACCAGCTTAGGTTAAAACCTGGTACGCTGCCACCACCAAGTGATTTAACAAGAAACAGGGAAAAGGCCACTTGGAGTTCCTCTTCCCCCAAAATATCCTCCCAAGCCCTACACCCCCTTTCCTGGGGAGGCTTGAAAATAATATCCTAACCAACTGGTTACAAAGTGATCAAAGACCCAAACCCCTGGGTCTTTGGACAATGGAAAAATCAGTCAGGTTCTTTAAAAACTGATTTTATTAAAAAGAAAAGGTAAAAATCATCTCTGTAAAATCAGAATGGAAAATAACTTTACATGGTAATCAGATTCAAAGAGCCCAGAGGAACCCCCTAGCCTTAGTTTCAAAGTTACAACAAAACAGGGATAAACCTTCCTCTAGCAAAGGGAACATTCACAAGTTGAGAAAACAAAGATAAACTAACACGCCTTGCCTGGCTGTTACTTACAAGTTTGAAATATGAGAGACTTGTTCAGAACGATTTGGAGAGCATGGATTGATGTCCAGTCCCTCTTAGTCCCAAGAGCGAACACCACCAAAAGAAAGAGCACAAACAAAAGTCCCTCCCCCCCGCAGATTTGAAAGTATCTTGTCCCCTTATTGGTCCTTTGGGTCAGGTGTCAGCCAGGTTACCTGAGCTTCTTAACCCTTTACAGGTAAAAGGATTTTGGTGCCTCTGGCCAGGAGAGATTTTATAGTATTGTATACAGGAGGTTTGTTACCCTTCCCTTTATAGTTATGACAGACATGATTTGTTCTTGACAAATCCATGCTGGCTGACATTTATCACCTTATTTTCTTCTAGGTGTTCGCAAATTGATTGCTTAATTATTTGCTCCATTATCTTTCCGGGTACAGAAGTTAATCTGACTGGTCTGTAATTCCCCGGGTTGTCCTTATTTCCCTTTTTATAGATGGGCACTATATTTGCCCTCTTCCAGTCTTCTGGAATCTCTCCCGTCTTCCATGACTTTTCAAAATTAATAGCTAATGGCTCAGATATCTCCTCAGTTAGCTCCTTGAGTATTCTAGGATGCATTTCATCAGGCCCTGGTGATTTTAAGATGTCTATCTAGCACGCACACACACATTAACACAAGCATAATGCCCTGCACTCACACATCCCATGCCCTGTGGGTGTGCACATGTGTGCACACACACTCTCTTCCTGGCTGCTGCAGTTTCACTGGCAGCTATCTCTGAATTTCAAAGAGATCCCCCCTCCATTAATCTTTACACACACCCTTTGCCAGAAACAATCCCTGGGCACAGGCACTCCCCCAGGACAGGGGTCTCGGAGCAGCTTCCCCTCTCCTCTGGCCTGTCTCTGAGAGCTCCCCCCCCTCCCCCCATAAACATGCTGGTGAATGGGGGGTGAGAGGGAGACACAGCAGACTGGCATTTGCCTGTGTGTTGGGAGGACCTGGGTGTGTTTGAAAGCACATTGCACTGCTGTGAATGAGTGCACAAGGCGCAGGGCAATGGCAAGTCAGGCCCCATGTGTGTGAGTGTGAAGGTGAGTCTGTGGGTAGGGGGCGAGCAGATAAAAGGCACATTTGCATGGAAAGCTGGTTATTGGTTAACAAACGTACAAGCCTTGTCAATGCTGCTGGTGTGAGGGCTGCCTGTCCCGGTAGTGTGTGTGGGGGGGGCGGTTTGCCCGGTGCTGGGATCACAGTGCTGCTGTGCTCCCTGGGGAGTCACCTTTGCCTCTTGTGGGTGGTGTGTTGGGGCAGGGACACATTTTCCCCTGAGTGCATGTACAGCAGGGACTGTCCATGGGAGTGGGAAGGGGGCGCCAGTCTCTAGAGCAGCGAGCAAGGCTGGGCAGAGGCTGTTTGGGATCAGAGAGCTGTGATTGCAGGGGGCCAGACTTGGCTGCACCTTA